TTCTTTATCTTCTGATAAGAAAGAAGACAGTTAAATTAGTGGCAAATTCCTTTGATGTTTTACAGAGGCTTCATATAGAATGTAAAAGGGAAGGTCTTTTTTGCGTTTGGCCTTAGTCTTAGGGGAATGGTTCTGAGATATGGTTTTTACTTCTAAGACATGGCAATTATGAGGTTCCTGAGGAATGCCTGAGATTATTACTAATCCCCTTAAATTTGCTGAGATTAAAATTCTAAACTACCTATGGTAGATAACTGGTTAAATCTCTGCTAAGATTCCTTCTGTTTCCCTACTCCCCCTCAATTTCTTTAGTCTTGCTTCACATATGCACAATAAGGGATTAGCCAAAGATTTGAAAAAAGTATATGCAGATTTTGGCAGTCTCTATTCTGTGACTCCTTGTTTTGGAAGATTATTCCTTAGTTTCTGACCACTATGGTAAACTCAAACTCAGTCCTCTAACTCTTTGGGCAAATAAGGTTATATATTTCCTTTGTGCCATTTAGATTGTGCTGTGCCTTTAGAAGAAAAGCTAGACAAATGTGCAACCTCATGTAATGTGGTTTTCTTCTTTTAAGTGTTGAGTGCCTTCAAGTTTTGTCCTACTTTCAGTTGTTCTTGTGTACCTTTAAAAAAAATTTTGTCCAGAATTTATTGTTTCATATCAGTAGAAACTTTTGCCTGATAAAAGATAATTCGTCATTCCTGGATGTCGGAGTCCAGCTCCAACAGGGGGTCTCAGGAGAGAACGGATGGTGAGGAGTCGCCGAAAGGCGGGTGGAAAAACAACACAGACACCAAAGTGAAGGTGCTGATCCCAATCTTTACTTGTGAAGTTGATCATATATACTTTTCATTTTGGCAGGCTCACAGTACTTTGTGGTTACAAAACAGGAATCATTATTCAAAGAAACAAAATATTACCTAGCTACAATTAGATAAGAAGAATGTCTCTTGGCTTAGGCATAAGCAAGCATTTTTCCTTTCAGTTCGCATTTTGCTTTGAGCTGTTTCTGTTTAGTTAACTTTTAATAATAGTTAGAAATGTCCCAGACTATTGGCCTATACCTTGACTATTCTTTCTTGACTTACTGACTAGAACTGGTGCCATGGTTACGGCAAGTGGTTAACTTGTTATTAATTTTAAACAAGAGTAAGAGCACAAACCATTGTGCACAGGAACAAGAACGAGTTGCCCAGTACTAAGCACTAATCTATCTTCTTAACATTAATTCTTCTTCTCTAGATTTTAATTTGATTTCTCAAAAACTTCCTTGACAGGAATACAGGGAGTTTTTCATTAGACATTAACAATTTATATTCCACAGCTGAATCATTGCATTTAGAGCAAACAGATCTATTCTTTAGAAGTAGTTGCATTAATTGGGAAAGTCATGTTTTTTTTCCTTCATACTTAATGGTCATATGAGAAGTTGCAACTATACTTATTAAAGGAATACAAAAACAAACCAGCCCATTCCCAGAAACATACTGCGCTCCTCCAGAGGATGGATGCCTTGCACCGTCCACCTCAGTAGGGCCTTGCCATTGCCTGAGTCAGGGGAGGGGCGCAGCACCTGGATGCTGTTAATTTTTTGTCTCAAATAAAATAGTATGTAGGGATAAACAATGCTAGGTAAGCACCCTCTGTTTCTTTTCTTTGGCTTGTTCACCATTTGTCCCTGAAACAATGCTCTGTTGATTAAAAAAAATTATATTCATATTTCCCTTCCCCATGAAGTTATCCTCAGAAAAGCAGAACTTCCTGTAGATTTGCCATTTATTATTATGATGTTGGGCTAAATTATTCCCTGAAGTCACTGGAAATTTGAATGTAAACATTTGTAAATACCCAGTTTTGTTTTTAAATGAACACTTACATAGTACTTAACTTGTGCTATGTCTAAGCATTTTATATATAAATAAATTAATCCATTTAATAATCTATCAGTCCAGTGAGAATGGATATGATGATTAGCTCCATTTTCCAATTAGGAAACTGAAGCAAAAAGAAATTAAGCTAGGAAGAGGGAAAGCCAGGATTTGAATCCAGGCATTCTGGTACTATTAGAGTACTCTTTTATTACTTACTTTTTGAGATGGGAGTCTCCCTGTGTTGCTCAGGCTGGTTTTGAACTCCTAGATTCAAGTGATCCTTACACCTCAACCTTCTAATTATCTAGGACTTGAGGCACATTTCACCATCTCTGGCGGTCTGTACTCTTTAGCTACTGTGCTCTGCTGCTTCTTCTCCCAGTTTATGCTGCCTATACTAATTATTCTCTGGGTATGTAACTGTTAATATTTATGAATTTTTCAAAATTTTTAATAGTATCTATCTGTTGGTTTATAAACCATATCAAAGAACAGGAATCACATATTCCCTATTGTGATATATGCCCCCAAAGACTTAAGCACAACTTCCCCATAAATCTTGCGGATAAATACTAGACAATATTAATCATTTTTCTTCTTTTTTCACAATATTGTATTTATATTTCTTAATCAGTACTCATTTCTTCTGCCTTGTATTGCAACTAGTATTTCATAGATTTGACATTCCAATTAGGTTGTAAGATCATTGAAATAGAGACCATGCCTTCATCATTTTTGTAGACATTTGTTTCTACCCTGGCATCTAGCCGATACCTAGTAGATTATGCTATTCCAAAAATGTAATGGCAAAAATATACTTTTATTTGCCAGCTTAGAATCTTTGTATATCCATATATGTATGTACATATTTTGTTTATAATAGGAATAACTTGTTTTAGTGTCTTACTTTTACTTTGAACGTTCCACAGTCCTTCCATACTTACTAATTTCTTCTAATTTTTAAATTTATTATGGTCATTAACCCATATTAATTATACAAATTCATGGGATTCACTATGATATTTTCATACAGGCCTATATTGTGCATTCACCTTTTTCTACCTTCTCTCCCTTCCCTCTCGTTCCCTTCTTAGTTCCTAATAATTTCTCTCTTACTTTTAGATCATCTTTTTTTTTTTTTTTCAGTTTCCACATATAAAAGATACCATGTGATACTTGGCTTTCTGTGTGTGACTTATTTCACTTAATGTTGTGATATCCTCCAGTTCAATCCATTTTTCCTGCAAGGACAGAATTTCATTCTGTAGGGCTCTATTGTGTGTGTGTGTGTGTGTGTGTATGTATGTGTGTGTGTGTGTGTGTGTATATATATATATATATATATATATATATATATATATATATATATCATGTTTTCTTTATCTGTGCAACTATTTATGATCATGTAGACTGATCCCATATCTTGGTTATCATGAATAATGCAGCAATAAACATATGGTAGTTCTGTTTTTTAGTTTTTTGAGGAAACTCCATACAGTTTTCCACAGTGGTTATTATAATTTATATAATCTCCAATAGTGTAGATGGCCTTTTATTTTTCCACATCCTTGCTAGCATTTGTTTGTTTGTTAACGGTCATTCTCACTGGAATGAGAATATATCTTATTGTAATTTCAATTTACATTTCCCTGATGGCTAAAGATATTGAGAATTTTAAAATATTTTTTTATTTTTTAGTTCTCGGCGGACACAACATCTTTGTATGTGGTGCTGAGGATCGAACTCGGGCCGCACGCATGGCAGGCGAGCACGCTACCGCTTGAGCCACATCCCCAGCCCCCTGGCTAAAGATATTGAGCATTTTTATATATTTATTGTCAAAATTGTATTTTTTATTTTGAGATTCTGTTCAAATTATTTGTCCATTTTTTGATTTGAGTACATTTTGTTATTATTTTTTTAGTTCTTTATAATATTCTATTAATCCTTTGTCTAATGAATAGCAGGTAAAGATTTTCTCCCTTTCTGTAGATAGTTGCTACTCTGTTGATTGCTTTATTTGCTGTGTAGAAGCTTTTTAATTGGATGCAATCCCATTTGCCAATTCTTTTTGCTTCATGTGCTTTTGGAGCTTATCCAGAAAATTATTGACTGTGCTGATGTCTTGAAGCATTTTATGTTTTTCTCAGTAGTTTCAAAATTTGAGCTCTTACATTAGGGTTTTGATCCATTTGGAGTTGGGTTTTGTATAGGTAGAGAGATAGGGGTCTCCTGTATATGGATATCCAATTTTCTAAGCACCATTTATTGAAGAGAATGCCTTTTCTTCATGTGTATTTTTGTCAAGAGATCAGTTGACTGATCAGTTCTTTCTTTTGCTTCATTGGTCAGTGTTTCTGTCTTCATGACAATTATCATGTTGGTTTTATTAATACAACTCTTGTGTCCTGAAATCTGGTATTGTGATGCCTCCAGCTTTGTTCTTTTTTTCAGTTTTGCTTTGGCTATTTTCTACTGTCTTTTTATGGAAAAAGTGTGATGAGCTTTCATTTATTCATTCAGTAAATGTTTTAGAGCACCTGCCACGTGCCAGGTATTGTTCTAGTTATTTAGTTTGTATCAATGCACAAATCAAATTCTCTCTTTTCATGTAGATTACATTTTTTGAGAAAGTAAAGATAACAAAAATAAATATTGTGTTGTGGTATTACAAAGAAAAATAATAAAGATATAGAATGTGATGGAGAGTACTATTTTAGATTGTGTGATCTGAGAATTCTAAGAAGAAGTGATAATTGAATAGAGACCTGAATTTTTATAGGATCTGAGGAAGTCCCACATTTTTGTCTGAACAACCTGGTGAATATTTAGGGAGGAGTAAGAAGTTTTTGTGTACTATTGCATGGTAGAAGGACTATAGATAACACTAATGTACTTTATATTTCAAAAAGCTAAAAGAAAGGTTTTGAATGTTTTCACCATAAAGAAATGATAAGGATTTGAGGAAATGATATGTTTAACCTGATTTAAACATTATATAGTGGTATATTTTTATTGAAATACTCATGATACTCCTTAAATGCATATTTTTATATTTAATTTAAAATAAATTTAAATTTATAAAAATGTATGATTGAAGTTAAATGTTCATGTTTACTTTACAGGTATTGGTTTGCCTTGAAAAAGGGTTACCACGTGGCTTTCAAATGTAATAGCAAAACGAATAGCTTCACCAAAGAGCAAATTGATCAACATAAAGAAGTTATAGATAGAGTGACTGATTTGAGCATGCTCAGGCTATTTGAGACCTACCTGGAAGGCTGCCCACAACTTCTTCTTCAGCTCTATATCTTTCTGGAACATGGACAAGCAAATTTTAGTCAGTGTAAGTCTTTATTAACACCATGTTAGATGTTGGATGCCACTGAAATCTTATATCAACTATATAACTCTCAGGCAGGTTTTAGAGTTTTCAATCCTTTAAAATTGTTTTTTGAAAAGTAAATTCAGTAATATGGTTCAGATGTTAAAAAATATAAAGATATATTGCCTCCTTTTCTCTTCTTCCTATTCCTTCCTTTGTCTGCCAAGAAAGGAAATCACTGCTGAAGGAAGGCTGACTGTATAATGAGATGTTAAGATCAGGCAAGCTGACTGAAAATTCTAGTCATGCCAATTATTAACATCAGTAATTCAAGAAAACCTTGTAAACATGTCCCCCTATGTTTAACCTAGATGTATTCTTAACTCAACTTTTCCTTAGATCCCCAAAATGCCCAAAGCCATTTCAGCTTTCTAAGGCAAAATATGAGGAGTGTAAATTGGAGGAAGAGACAGGGAATTTATCAACTGTAATTAAAATGCCTTATTTGCAAATTTTATAAAACTATGGCAAAGTGAACACATTGCTAGGACTTTGCCAGGCTTGAAGGAGATTGAGCAAGTGGGGTCCTTGAAATTTAAGTTTTACTACCTTTGTGATAAATCCACCTCTTAGGTAACAGTATTGATCATCTTTAAACATTTTTTAAAAATTTTTATTGTTGGTTGTTCAAAACATTACATAGTTCTTGATATATCATATTTCACACTTTGATTCAAGTGGGTTATGAACTCCCATTTTTACCCCGTATACAGATTGCAGAATCACATCAGTTACACATCCATTGATTTACATATTGCCATACTAGTGTCTGTTGTATTCTGCTGCCTTTCCTATCCTCTACTATCCCCCTCCCCTCCCCTCTTCTCTCTCTACCCCCTCTACTGTAATTCATTTCTCCCCCTTGTATTTTTTTCCCTTTCCCCTCACTTCCTCTTGTATGTAATTTTGTATAACCCTGAGGGTCTCCTTCCATTTCCATGCAATTTCCCTTCTCTCTCCCTTTCCCTCCCACCTCTCATCCCTGTTTAATGTTAATCTTCTTCTCCTGCTCTTCGTCCCTACTCTGTTCTTAGTTACTCTCCTTATATCAAAGAAGACATTTGGCATTTGTTTTTTAGGGATTGGCTAGCTTCACTTAGCATAATCTGCTCTAATGCTATCCATTTCCCTGCAAATTCTATGATTTTGTCATTTTTTAATGCAGAGTAATACTCCATTGTGTATAAATGCCACATTTTTTTTTATCCATTCATCTTTTGAAGGGCATCTAGGTTGGTTCCACAGTCTTGCTATTGTGAATTGTGCTGCTATGAACATCTATGTAGCAGTGTCCCTGTAGCATTTTTATGTTTAATATGAATACTGTGGTTTCTAGGGAAATCATCAAAGAATAATATCAGAGCATATCATTGAAGGATGTGGGTTATTAAGTTGAAAGGTTGAATAAAAATGGCTCACCAAGCTCATTGTTATCATTTCAGCAAAGCAAAGATAAAATTCTAGAAGATTTGAGAAGGAAAAAAATGATCACTTACTAAAGATAGAGAAACCAAATGGCATTAAACATTCTTAACTGTAACAGTTGAAATTGGAATAACAGTGACGATTTCAAAGTTTCAATGGAAAAAAAATCAACTTTTTAATTCTATTTTTAACAAAACTGTGTCTCAAGAGTGAGAAAGGAGGGGCTGGGGTTGTAGCTCAATGGTAGAGCACTTGCCTTGCATGTGTGAGGCACTGGGTTTGATTCTCAGCACTGCATATAAGAAAAATAAAAAAAATAAAGGTTTATCAACAACTAAAAATAAAATAAAATAAAAAATAAAAAAAGAGTGAGAAAGGAATAAAGACTTTTTGAGCCATAACATGGTCTCAAAATACTTAGCTTTTGTGCAACATAAGAAGGAATGAGAATCAGGAAATAGGACATCAACACAGAAGAGAGGTGAAGGGAAGTTCTGGGATGATAGGAAGCAAGCCTCAAGAATAATCAGCCTAGGGCTCTGGTTATAACTCAGTGGTAGAACACTTGCCTAGCATGTGTGAGGCCCTGGGTTCGATCCTCAGCACCACATAAAAATAAATAAATAATAAAATAAAGATATTAAAAAATACAATAGCATTATTAAAAAAAAAAGAATAACCAGCCTAGAGCAGGAGGATGGTAGTAGAAAAAAATTGGAGGGGGAAATAAAGGAAAAGAAATGACAGATGTATACACAGAGGTTTTCTCAATCAGTTTGAAGTATTTGCTAGGAAATAGGGATAGGGTAAAAAAAAAATTAAGCAAGTGAGCAAAAGCAGAGTTTACTGCAGAAAAAAATGTAATGTTTTAAAGAAAATAAAATATAATCAGAGTGACTGAGCAGTTAAAAAACCAAGACCAAATCAAACCAAAAGTCCCTGTATACTTATGTAGTTGTAATAAAGTAAAATAAATATTGATTTTACCAAATGTTGTGATGTTGCTCTTTTAGAAAGAGATAAATGGAGGCTATGTGGAATGCACATGTATACTAAAATGTCTTCTTTCTAAATAGGAAATCAGTAAACAATGTTTAAAACAGATAAGTTAAACATAATGCATATTTTAGGTAGAAATAACTACCTGTCACAGTAGAAACTTAGGAGAATTGATAGTGATTTCTTCTGGGGATTTAAATTAAGTGGTAAGGAAGGGTAGAAAAGGGTACTGCTGTTTTTCTAGTAAAGTTTGTAGAAATTTTTAGCTTTTTAAACTATGTGTATGTATTAATTTGGTAGAAATTAAAACCAATTATAAAAATAGCTCATAGGGCAATTTAGGAGAAAGTGATGTTTTAATTCAAATGTTTTTGAATTAAAGAAGAAAAGAAATCCTACTAGTGAGGTCCATTGTGTCATGTGCCAAAACCAAGAAAGAGTATACAGAGACATTTTTCAGGTCCTGTTCTCATTATCCTCATCAGTAGATAAATTGTTGTAAGTCTAGCTATCATGTAGACTTCCAGTGGGGCTTAATTAAAATTACTAGCACTCTGTATTCTCTAAATTATTTCATTTTAGTTTTCTGATGCTTTTCTTTTGCTTTATGGAAGTCCCTTGCTTTAACTGTGGGGCTAATAATAACTTGCATTTCCATAATAGTAATGAATTTATTCTTCTGTTCCTTGTTAGGTAAAAATGGAGTAACGATGTCAAACCTATAGAAGTTTGGTTTTAGAGCATATTTGTTCATTTGAGTCATTATCTTCAGGATATGAAAACTTGAGCTTGTTAATGTTTTATACTTATGTTAAATTTTCTTTTTAACTGCTCCTCTTCTTTGCACCATGAAGCTGTACCTTGTGAATTAGGTATATATTCAAGGTCAAAATTAAAATGTCGAGAAAACTTAGGATTATACTTGTTTTTAAACAACCAGAGTATGCAGTTCCCATTATTCCAATTGCTTAATAAAATTTGTTCAGTGAATTATTCAGAAGCACTTCAAAGCAGCCTGATGGTAGTGGATTAGTATACCAACTTTGGAATCAAGAAAATTTAGATTCAAATTTCAGTTCTATAATTTTTTAGTTATGTGACTTTGACCAAGTAATATATTTTGTCAAGCTGCAGTTCCCTCACATGTAATATGGGAATATTATCTCCAAGGATTAGATAAGTAAATTGCCTGAATGTGTTTGTGAGACTCTGTGTATACAGATAAAGCATTTATGGCATCTAGTAATATAATATTGCTATTACTATTCCTGTAACAATAGGTCTTTTTTATTTTTTGTTTTGTAGATGCAGCTATCATGCTTTCTTGCTGTGCCATTTCTTGGTCAACTGTTGATTTTCAAATAGCTTTAAGAAAATCCTTGCCTGATAAAAATCTCCTTAATGGATTCTGTCCCAAAGCCACCTATCTCTTTTACAAGTTGTTTACATTATTGTCTTGGATGCTTAGTGTTGTACTTCTATTGTTTATAAATGATAAGGTTGGATTATTTATGTTGTTATTACTTTGGATTGTAGGTTTAATATGGGCATGTAAAGAACAAACTCAGTTTTGTAATTCCAAAAGTATGGAATTCTTATATAGAATTGTTGTTGGATTTATTCTTGTCTTTACATTTTTTAATATTAAGGGACATAATACTAAATGCCCAATGTCTTTTTATTATGTTGTAAGAGTGCTGACCACACTGGGTATATTGATTGGGTTCTGGGTTTATCCACTTTCTATTTTTAATTCAGATTACTTTGTACCTATCAGTATCACTTTAGTTCTTTCTCTTCTCCTTGGGATTATTTTTCTTATAGTTTATTATGGGGTTTTTCACCCAAATAGAAGTGAAGAAACAAAATATGATGAAACTGATGGAAGATATGTTCAAAGAGATTGTAGAATGAAGTATTTCCTAATGGAATAAGCTATTAATTTATAAGATATGTTTTATTGTTATTTGTTTCATTGGTTAGTAAAGAAAAATATGTGTTATGTGTGTATTGTCTCTTTATTTTTGCTACCTTTAATTTGAGAATGGTTCTGGTACATTAATTTTGAATGTGAGAGAACATAATGATATTTTATTATTTAAATTATTATTATTTGTGTTTTTTGTGGCTCTGGGGATTGCATCCTGGGCCTTGTGCATGCTGCACAAAGTATTATACCACTGAGCTCCACCTTCTGCCCTCTTATTTGGTTTTGAAGGTCTTGAGTACAAAGATGTTTTCTTACTGTATCTGGTAAAGCTACCATCTTGAGCCTGAAATGGAAGAAATAATCTAGTTCCCACAAAGGCTGGCCTTGAGGTATTCTCCAGGTTTTCTCTGATTGTTCCTAAAATTGCTCTACCTGTTGTGGAGAACTCCAAAGGGAACAGAAGAGCAGAACACCTTATTCTTCTTTTCTTTACTGTCTTGATTCATTGCATGTATTTTGAGTTGAGGACAGACTAAGTAGAAGAAAAGGGAATGGAGGGAAGGTGAAGAAATTAAATCCTTTTTTATTTTTTAATATTTATTTTTTAGTTTTAGGTGGACACAATATCTTTATTTTATTTTTATGTGGTGCTGAGGATCGAACCCAGTGCCCCACGCATGCCAGGCGAGTACGCTACCATTTGAGCCACATCCCCAGCCCAAGAAATTAAATTCTTAGTGAGCACCTACTCTGCTGCTTTTCATGAATTTCCCAATTCAGTAAATATGAAAGAAAATTTGCATGCATTTGAGAGGATTGAAAATTTCATTATTTACTTATTTTTTAGATTTTCTGAATAAAACTAAAATAATTTTTACTAATTAATTAGGTATGACAGCAGAATGCATTTTGATTCATTGTACACAATTGCAGCACAACTTTTCATTTCTCTGGTTGTACACTATGTAGCATCGCACCATATGTGCAGTCATACATGTACCTAGGGTAATGATATCCATCTCATTCCACCATCATTCCTGCCCCCATGCCCCCTCCCCACCCTTTCCTTTTCTTTGCCCAAAGTTCCTCCATTCTGAATAAAACTAAAATTTTATTCTTGATATATTAATTCTATTTATGCTAAAAGTTATAATATTTTATTTGTATTATATGTATTTTAAAAATATGGTAAAAATTATATCAAATTTACCATCCTAACCATTAAGTACAGTTCAGTAGTGTTAAACTGTATTTGCTTTGTTATACAACAGATCTCTAGAACTTTATCCTCTTGCAAAACTTAGTAATTGTTCAATGGATATACAGTCTTTATCCTGTCCCTGGCCATCTTAATTCTATTCTCTGTTTCTATGGGTTTGGCTCCTTTAGATATCTCATGTAAGTTGAATCATGCAGTATTTGTCTTTGTGACAGGCTTATTTAATTTAGGAAAACTTCCTCAGTGTTCATCCCTATTAAGAGTATGTAATAGCATTTCCTTCTTTTTTAAGGCCAAATAATATTCTATTTCATATGTATGCCACATTTTCTGTATTCATTCATTTATTAGGGAACATTTGTCTTGATTCCACTTCTCTCTTGGCTATTGTGAATAATGCAGCAATGAACATGGGTGAAATAAAGTATTTCTTGGAGATTCTGCTTTTAATTTTATTGAATATATACCCCAAGGTGGGTTTGTTGTATCATATGGTAATTCTGTTTTTAACTCTAAAGAAATATTCATGCTGTTTTTCCTAATGGTGGCCCCATTTTATAATCCTACCAACAGTGCACAAAAATATTGATTTCTTTGTATCCTTACCAACATTTGTTATTTTCTGGTTTTATTATTATTTCTCTTTGTAGTGTGATTTGCCTTTGTCCAATGATTAGTGATGTTAAGCATCTTTTCATGTGTTCCTTGTATATCTTCAGTAGAGAAATATCTATTTCATAAGGGTTAATATCTAACATATAAAGAACTAAACCTCTAGAATAGCAGCAAAACTCCAAATAACCTGATTAAAAATGGAAAGGTGTAATCCCAGCAGCTCAGGAGGCTGAGACAGGAGAATCATGAGTTTGAAGCCAGCCACAGCAATGGTGAAGCGCTAAGCAACTCAGTGAGACTCAGTCTCTAAATAATATAAAAAATAGGCCTGGAGATGTGACTCAGTGGTTGAGTGCCCCTGAGTTTCAATCCCTGGTGTGCGCACGTGTGCGCACATACACACACAAAATGGAAAGGACTTGAGGTAACCAAATTATATTTTATTTTAATTAGTTTATTTTTTGGAGAAATGCTGAGAGCCATAGCTAAGTAGGTACGACACATGGCAATTTCCTTGTCAGCCTACCCCATGTTGCTTAGAGGAAGGACTCTCCATTGTGGACCCAGGTCATTTGCAGTGACTTTGCATGAAAGGTGACCTTGCTCAAGGACCAGGGCGGATCTGGATTTAGGGTGGATCAGCGTTTAGGGCAGATCAGGGTTTAGGGCAGTTCCAGGTTTAAGGTGATTCCTGCTGGGAATAGGGCGTATCCTGCTGCCTCAGGCGCCTTGAGTTCCCGTTGAGTTCTCCCGGGATTCAGAGAGTATTTGGGATTCAGAGCCCGGTGGAGAGTGTGGATTTTGCCCAGAAGTGCGTGTAGAGTGCTGGTGACAGTTCGGGAATAAAGAATTGCTGTTTGAATCTACAAGGCTGTGAGTGGCTCGTGATTTTGTGCCCAGCCAGACTGCGGCAGGGAAAGATGAGTTTTATTGAAATGCTACAAAGTAAATGTAACCTCTTAAAAATGGGAAGTTAAGGGACATCTAGGTGGTCTTCTTTGTCTGTGACCCATTCTCCACATATCAGAAAAGGGACTTCATTTTGAGAACATCCAATACCCAACACAATATAGAGGTTAGTTGTTGAATTAATCAGTGAGTGAGAGATGAATTGGATAGGAGAGAATGAAGAGATAGCAGAGGCTGGGAGTATTGGAGCAGGCTAAACATGTTAGAGTGATCAAAGAAGGGAATTAGGTAGAAAATCAACATGTTCAAGTGTGCTGGACTGATATTTCTAGCAGCTGCTGGTTCCCAGGCCAGAGTGGTGGGCCTCAGTTTGCTAGTGGGGGTGCCCCTCTAAGTGAGAACATGGCAGGGCCCACATGGGCTGGTTTATCACTAAGATGCAGAGAAAGGCCATTTCTCTGTTGGGGACTGTATTTCCAGGTGTTGTTGATGTCAGCTTCTTTTTCTTCTTCCTCCTCCTTTTCTGCTTTGTTCTCTTCCTTCTCTTCTTCCTCCCTTCCTCGTCCACCTCCTTTTATTTCATTTTAAAGATAGGTGCTGATCACTTGCTTTGCTTGGATAATTCTAAGCAAAAGGAAGATTTAACGACAATCATTGAGAGCAGCTGTAAACTTCAGACCTGAGCTTGAAAGATCATATTGCTGTATGCTCTGGAAGGTCCGTCTCCAGAATTCATTACCATTTTCAAGTCTGTAGTTGAGTAAACTTCCCTTTTAAAAATTTGTTCTAATTAGTTATACATGATAATAGAATGCATTTTAACACATCAAACATAAATGGAGTATAACTTCTCATTCTCTGGTTTTACATGATGTAGAATCATGCCAGTCGTGTAATCATATATATACATAGGGAAATAATGGTCAGTTCATTCTACTAACCTTCCTTCCCCACAACCCCTCCCTTCCCTTCACTTCCCTCTGCCTAATCCAAAGTACCTCTGTTTTTCCCTAGTGCCACCTACCCCCTATTGTGAATTAGCATCCACATATCATAGAAAATATTCAGCCTTTGATTTTTGGGGATTGGCTTATTTTGCTTAGCATGATATTTTCCAGCTCTGTCCATTTACCTGTAAATGCCATAATTTCATTTTCTTTAAGGCTGAGTAATATTTCATTGTGTATATATAACACAATTTCTTTATTCATTCATCTGTTGAAGGGCACCTAAGTTGGTTCCATAGTTTGGTTATTGTGAATTGAGCTGCTATAAACATTGATGTGGCTGCATCACTGTAATACACTGCTTTTAAGCCCATTAGGTATAAACTGAGGAGTGGGATAGCTGGGTCAAATGGTGGTTCCATTCCAAGTTTTCTGAGGAATCTCTATACTGCTTTCAAGAGTGGTTGCGACAATTTGCAGTCCCACCAGAAATGTATGAGTGTAACCTTTTTCTCCACATCCTTGCCAATATTTATTATTGCTTGTATTGATAATTGCCATTCTGACTAAAGTGAGATAAAAATCTTAGTTTTAAATTGCATTTTTCTAATTGCTAAGAGATGTTGCACATTTTTTTCATACATTTGTTGACCACTCATATTTCTTCTTTTTTGAATTGTCTGTTCAGTTCCTTTGCCCATTAATTGACTGGGTTATTTGGATTTTTGGTGTTTTTTGAATTCTCTATATTCTGAAGAATAGTGCTCTATCTGAGGTGCATATGGTAAAGATTTTCTCCAATTCTTTAGGTTCTCTCTTTACATTATTGAATGTTTGCTGAAAAGAAGCTTTTTTGTTTGAATCCATTCCATTTATTGATTCTTGATTTTACTTCTGGTGCTTTAGGAGTCTTGTTAAGGAAGTTGGTTCCTAACCCAACATGATGAATATTTAGGCCTACTTTTTCTTCTAGCAGGTTCAGGGTCTTTGTTCTAGTGCCTAAGTCTTTGATTGACTTTGAGTTGAGTTTTGTGCAGGTGAGAGATAGGGGTTGTTTATGTGGTCCATATAGTGATATTTTTTTCTATCCTTTCACCTTCAATTTGTGAATGTCTTTGCCTGTGATGTGAGTCTCTTGGAGACAGCATATTGATGGGTCTTGTTTTCTAATCCAGTCTGCCAGTCTATGTCTGTCAATTGATGAGTTTAGGCCATTAACATTTAGGGTTATTATTGATATATGATTTATATTCCATTCATTTTGGTTTATTTCAGTTTTTTAATTTGACTTAGTTTCTCCTTTGATTGTCTTTT